CCGACATCAGTCTTCGTGTCCTTGTGCTGTTCACGTGTCTAGCTGTGCGTCTGTGTCTGTCAGACGTTCCGTCCGTCCGTCTGTCCGTCCTCTGTCTGTGTCGTGTCCATGTCCATACTGTAGTGGACTGGACTGTGCTGTGTTGTGCTGTACTGTACTGTGCTGTGTGTGTTTGTTTGGACCCGCTGTACATGCAGCCATCGTCATGATGTTGACGGAGGCACACCTGCACAGGAAGCTGTCTGCCTGCACATTCTGCCATCATGCTGTAGCACTTGCCATGCCGGACCAATGCGTATTTGCGCTATATTTGCGATTTGAGCCAGGCGAACCGGTAGAGTAGCAGCAATCATCCATTGGGAACTGGGCACATCTAAGCACATCGCCTGATCATGTGTGTACTGCCGGTACAGTTTTGCATCACAATCGATAATGGGCCATGGTGATTTTCATGGTATTGGCTCGACGACTCCACCTGTCAAAACAAGCGGAACATGCATGCGTGAATGTGCATGTTTGTGTGTGTGTGTGTGTGCGTGTTGAAACTTGTCTTTCTTGATGGCTGTGTTTGATGTGTTAACAACTGCATCCTCCTTAGCAGCTTGCATCCGTTGCGCGCGGCCTGGCTTTCGGTGGTGAGAGAGCCAAGCAGAATACAAGCAACACGCTACATGATACGTTGTCCATTTGCACTGTTCAACCTTAGGTGAAACTCAATGTCCCATGTCTGAGAGCAAGAGTTTCAAGTAATGCGGAGGTCAGCTTTTGGGGCCTACTGTAGTTGTGTCAGTGGCCATGATTCATGGACTCTTGGATCAGATCCAGGCCTGCGTGCCATGCCCTGAGCCGGAAGTGCTTCTTACTTCTTCCTATCCCAGATGCAGAGCTCCAGCTCCGGATCATTCAGGTCCGACGATGACGACGAGCAGCCGGATGTCAGCTTTGTGTTCTCAGGCACAAACCTCTGCTGGATGACTTCGCTTGTTGACTTTCATGCTTCGATCGCCGAGCACCTGAAATCCAAAACTCGAATGCCCTGCCCTTGCCCCTGCCTGCCACAGCTTCATCGCTACAAAGTCAGTCATGCCGGAAGATTGAGCATGCAGACGCCGGAGGTGAAGACGACTTGAGCTGCCAAACGTTGGTCGTTTGCGGCCCTGGCTGGCTGCTGAGTAGCAGCGTGTCCATAGACCAAGTCAGTTCGCCTCGGGCATCAGCGCAGACACTGCAAGGTCCTGGCAGCGCTTTTGCTCTGCAAGTCTTCGACTTGGTGCCCTTGCTCGGGCCCCTGGGAGACGAGACGTTGGGACCTGGGAGACGGCCTCCTATCGTGTGCCGGGAGACAAGGGGACCGGAGTCAAGGGGGCTCATAAGGGGATGCAAAGGCAGCGAGACTATGTTCAGGTCAGTTAAGCTTGCAAGGTCGCTGATGTGCCATGGGTAGGAGAAGTAGCCACATCCTGCACTGCAGTTCGGGTTGGACAGTTCCAGAGTCCAGGCCGCTGCGGTTGGAGCCCAAGGAGGCAAGGCAAAGCCGGCCGTGTTTTTTCTGCCCTGTGATGTGTTTAATACTGATGCAGAGGATTCTCCTGTTCGGGCTTTGCCTCCTCCGCGGGCACCGAGGTTCTTTAAGGCACGAGCAGTTCGGAGGAGACTTTGCTCCATGCTTGACATCTGCGTCAATTTGCGAAAAGGCATCCGACGGTGTGGTGGTCGCAGTACTGGACACACATGCGGGGCTCTGAAGAAGCGCTTGCGTGGCGATGCGGAGATGCTGCGATGCAGGCGGTTCCCTGTGTCCCTGTCAGGTGTCGGGAGAATATGCAGTCGCTTGGGCGGACACGCTCCTGTCCACTCTGACGGGCAGACCACAGGCAGCTGAAAGACCTCATTGCATTTGAGCTCCTGTCTCGTGTTCCATGGGGTGCAGGTTCTTTTCTTGGACCGCATACTTCGGGCAGAATGGTGTAGTTGTGACCGTCGAAGACCAGAGGACTGCAAAGCTTTCTGTACCCCCGCAGCAAGGAGCTTTCGGGAACTGTTGTCTCCTGCAAAGCCTGGAACAGGAGCCCTACCTAGCCGGATTGTGGACCAGTGCCTTCAATGGCACCTACCTCGGGAGCTACCAAGAAGAGGAAGCGGAGAACATTCAACCGGGAAATCACATGTCAGGAAGCGAATCCGTTCCGGCACTGCCTCCCCCGAATTTCGTGGAGGCCTGACATGTAGAGGAAGGGGGCTTGCTTGCTGGCGTGCCCGCGTGCCTGCGTGTGCCTGCGAACTTGCTTGCTGGCTTGCTTGCCTGCAGAAGCACCAGAAGAATGTCACATGCGGCGCATCACATGTTTGCGGGTTTTTGCTGTTCACCTGTGCAGGTTTGGGATTAGTTCTCTCAAGAGATCGCATGATTCCGCGTGATTGTGTATTATTCTCGATTTCTGTTGTGGTGGTCGGAATAAACCGCAAGCCCTTCCCCATTTGAGAACTGTCGGAAGTAGAAGGATACACAGCTGATTAAAGCAGGCAGAAAACGAGCAGAGAAGCCGTCCATCAACTCTGAACAGGCACAGCAATGCTATGAGGGAGAGAGAAGCGTGATCTCGAAACAACCAGTGTATACAATATTTTGCATATGATACCTGCATGCATGTATGCATACATGCATACATACATACATCTATACACACATACATGCACACGACTTTCATATATACACACATGTACATACATGTATAGACATAGATATAGATATGCAGACACATCTGTATACACAAATGCAAAGATATGGAGATATAGTTTCACATGAACAACTGCATACATGTATGTATACCTATAAATACAACTACATGACAAGTACATACGGAAGTGTATATAGAACCACGTATTAAACCATGAGCATAAGACAGATATGAACAGTATAGCTTTAGGAATGAAAATCAATACATACAAATATACATATATAAACAGTATACATGTGTATATGCAGACACACTGATGTTCATATATATGTACATGTTATCCATTATACGTACACATACTTATTAGAATATGTACATATATATATATATACACACTCATGTGTACATACGTACTTATATATATACACACATCTACACATACACATGTATATACAATTATGTACACACTTACTGTTTATGCATGTGGGTATATATGTATGCATATATATATATATATGTAGATATATAATCAGGTTTGTATATGCAACCTATAATTATGTACATCAGTATGTGCTTATATGAGTAGATAAATGTACACATGCATGCATGCATGCACAGATTTACATATATATCGAAATATATAAAAACACATGCACATTCAATACATGCGTGTGTGTGTATATATATATATATACATACAACACAATACGCACACACACACACACACACATGTACATATTTTGTATATATGTGTTGTACGTATATATATATATATATATATATGTATAGATGTATGCATACGTGCTCTTTGTTTGAACCCTCCCTGCCTTCCTCCCTCTCTCCCTCCGTCCCTCCCTCCTAACTTTGAATAAACTGCCCATGCGTCGGGGTGTCGAGACGCAATTTTGGAAGCATCAGAGTTTGGAAAGAGCAGGTGAACGCAGGAAGCTGGATCGGACATGCAACAAGTATGAAGAGAATAATGAAGCAGAAGGCAAGCACGCAACAAGCAAAGCTTCAAGCCTGAGCGATCCAACGGACTTGAGGTCACGTGCTCGTAAATCCCGAAATTCAAACTAAACTCGATGTCTGAGGGCTTAGCCGCTGCACTTCTGAGCGGCTGCGAAGCAAGATCATGGCCCTGCCTCGTGGCTTTGGCGTTGCAGGACGTCTTGATAGCCTTCCCAAGTCTTCTGTACTCATGTTGTACTTACAACTTGCATGGATGGTGATTCGCTCTGGTGTGCAATCGGATATGACTAAGCTTTCGGTGTCAGTCTCATGATTCGTTTCATTGCGCAGTGGGATTCAAAGCAGATTTTTCAAAGGACGGTGCTCACATGTCAGAAGGCTGCCTTCTTGCTTACGAGGCCCTGTGCTGCAAAATACTGCCGTGCAGAATGCAGCGGGTTTCTGGGCTTGTGTCAGGCTTTGGTGCCTCTGCTCATCGAGCACCAGGCATCGACTGAAAGCAGGCTGAATCTCAAGGAAGTTGCTGACGTGATCAGGTGATCAGCTCTTGGCAGAGACCGCATCTCTGGCTTGTATTGGCTTGTTACAGGGAGGGAGAGAGAGAAAAACGAGCACGCCAGGTCCTGGATTCTTTGTACTCGGTACAAGTAGCATCAGTCCGGACTACTGACAAATCACTTGTACTAGCCCCATGCAAGGGGGGAGGGGGGGGGGCGACTGTCGACACGGGAAGGCGAAAGAGGGGTGCCTTCGAGACCGAGGAGCTGCTGCGCTCCCCTGCGCGACAGACCCCGGAAACCAGAGAAGAAGAAGAAGAAATTTGTCCCAGTTAGACGATCCGACAATTTAGTAGGCTGGCAGCAGCTCCTTGATGCAGCGTTTGGCAGGCGATATCGCGAAGCATTGCAGAAGGTGCTGGGACAAACTGACCATGCTGACATGAATGGGACTTACTTGGCCGCAAGTCGAGGACGCACACATTCTTCAGCTGCAGGTCATCCCGCCAACCTCGATGTCGATTTACGCCTGATATCTGGCTTGATCGGGACTTGTGCTTGGCACGCCCGCCTCCACGTAAAGAACGCAGGGACATTGTGACTAGTGCCTGTCTGATCTGTGCGAGATTCGACAACTTCATTGTGCAACGGTCTGTCTCTTCGAACCTGTCGAATGCGGCTCGAGCCGGAAGGTAGTGACGGGCACCAGCAAGGTCGCAAGCACGTCGTGGTGTACAGCTGTCATGCTTGAACATGAGATCATCTGAACGTACTGCAGCGGGATCAAGCCGAGCATCAAGAAAAAACAGCTCGCAAGTCCAGGGTCAGCAGGACGCTCCTGATTTCGACAGCCATGGCGGAGGAAGTTAAGCAATATCTGCCCGAGGCTTTTGCTTGTTCAATTACTGTTACTGTATCTGAGTGAACAGGGTATTTTACATCTGAGCAATCCGAGGCACCGCTATAACACATCGGGCAAACGGCAGCGGGACTTGACAGAGGACAGGTGCAGCTCTTGCGATTGACATCTTTGTTAGGAGGTCGACGAGCCACCGCATGTCATGTCGTACCAGTGGGAAGTTGCAACAAGGAGCAGAAACAGGAGCTGAAGGAGGTCTTTGACTTGTGAGCCATGCGTTCAACTTGATTTGGTGTGAAGCCCCTAGCAGCTCTAGCATGCCACAGCTGAACGGGAGGTATGACACAGATGGCTCGGCCGCCATCGACAACAGCGAACTCAAGGCAGCCCACCCGCCGCCAGCTTTCGCCACCGGAGAATTCCGTTTCACCGGGCCGTGGTAGGGTATGGATGGTGTCCAGGAAACCACGAAGCCGAGCTTTTCTCCTCCAGTCCTGTGCACTATCCAGAATATCACGGCTTCCTGTCTCTTCTGGTCTACAGCAAGACATGATACTGATGGAATGAGCGAGAGCATTTGAGTGGATTCGATGTTCGAGAAAGAAGCGGCTGTTCTTGCAGGGGCTCATGCAAGTCCTGGGTTTCTCCTCCACCTCGAGGGAGGACTGGCTGGAGCTGAGGAAGGGAAGCCTGCCATTCAAACCTCTCTCGGTTTGAGGAGCTTGTGGCCATGATGATGTCCGTGGACAAGGCCAGTTGCCAATGTAGCTCTTCGAATGCCAAGTCATGAAAGCAGCGAGCTGTAAGTCAGGATGGGTCTGGCGAAATTGAGCTGGATGAGTTCTTGCAGATGATGGCGCCGAAAGTATTGCGGGCACCCCGAATTCTACGAGGCATGTGCACCAAGAGCCCAGTCGAGAGCACAGCTGGCAAGGGCGCGGGAGCCCACGGCAGTCATCAGAAAGGCCGGGTTGCAAACGTTGCTGCAAGCCTGCCTCGCTGTCCAGCCATACAAACTGAAGCTCGTGCTGCATCCCCGTCACAGGCTTTTCCTCTCTTCGTGTCCGAAGGGACCGGGCGGAATGTCACTTTTGTGTTGTCGTGGTATGATGGTTCATGCGCGTGGAGGAGTGAGACCATCAACTGGCACAGCCTTCGGCGTCCTGGCCGCACAGGGTGTTGCCGGCGGGATCCTGGCGTTTCAACGAGTTCGATGCTTCCAGGGCGCTCGCAGACGATCTGGGCCTGGCCTTTGCCGACCACGAGATTCAAGAGATGCTGGAAGACGAGGGGTGCTCAGCTCTTTAGGGGTGTGGGTGATGCAGTGCGTTGCGGGGGGGCTTGAGGCCGATGACAACGGTGACGGCTATCTGGATGAAGACGAGTTTGTGCACGCCGTGCGAAGAGCCAAGTTCTTTTGACTCAGCCTTTTCCTCGGCTTCCGAAGGAAGCGTTTCACCTCCGCGGACTCCCGGCCTCCGCGGTGAGAAAAGACTCGGCGGCAAAGCCTGGACCTAGGGCCTCGACTCCAAATCCGACCGTCTCAGCTGCAAGCACAACGACGGCATGACTAGCTTAGCTACTTAGCTTGCACTCCACTTTCAGCCGTTTGGCTTCGGAAAGTGTGCCGCTTTTGATTGTGATCGATGGCGAAGCGTGTAGTGGGAGCTCGTCGCAGCCTGGTCTGCCTTGCGGTGCTCTACCAGCTGGGTCTGCTGGCCTGGGACTTCACGGGTGGTGTGAGCCGGGCGAGCCATGCGAGCCATGTCGTGAGAAGAGCCCAGCCTGATGCGAAGACAAATGTCTTGGCTAAAGATCCGCCGATCGCCGAGGAACTGAAGCTGTCCAACACAACCGAAGGAGCTCTCGAAACAGAGCTCAAACAAGATGTGGCAGCGGATGCAGAGAGCAAGGAGTCCCGAGCAGCTCGAAAGACCGCAGAAACCAAGGAGCGTGTAGCTGAGAAGAAGCGAAGGCTTGAAAGCGCACAGGGATCGGAAGACTCCATGATTGATTGGGCCGAATATGCCAAGCAAGCTCGAGAAATGGCTGCAGAGGCTGCGAAGGATGCGGCGAAACCCGGCAAGGAAAGCGCCGCCGCACGTGCCAAAGAGTTGGCTTTGGGCTTTGTAGCCTCGGGCTTGGACTCTGCGGCCGAAGCTCCGATCCTGGTTCCAGCCTCCGCCGCTGCCTTGGTGGTGGTGCTCGCTGCCTTGACGTTTGGGCGCCCGGCTCCGGAGCCACCCCGTCCGGCCCCGGTGCGTCCGGCTCCTGTGGTTCTCCAGTCGAAAGCCCAGCCCGGCCCGCCCAGCCAGCCCAGCTTGAAGACAGAAACGCCTGCTGTTGCCGTCGCGCCAGTGCGGCCAGTGACACCGGCTCCAGCACCTGCACCTGCTCCACCCACAAAGCAGGACTTGCCCTGGGCACGGAGCCTGGCCAAGTCTGCCAGAGACACGCTGAAATCTGTGGCTGAGGACGGGCTTGGGAAACTGTCACTTTCCGTTTCATATTTCAAGCATGGATTTCCGCAGGGTCCATCACCCAAACTCGATGTGCAGGTGTCGAGAGATGCTTGTGACAGTGGCGAAAAACGAGTGCCTGGCCCGTAGGTGGCGCAAAGAACTATAAGAACTATAACAACTACACAGACTGGCAGCAGATGGGAGGGGAAGGGTGAAAGAGACTGTTTGAAGGGAAGTTAGCAGCGCCGTGTCAGTTGCAATCTTAGACAGATGTTCCTGCCAAGGAGCTAACGCTAGCGACGTAAGCACAGTTTTCGATCATCGATCATCATTCACAGTGATGGGAACCTATTAAATGCACTTGCCCTTCGTTTCAATGGAAGTCCAGATCCTCGATGGCAACAGAATCGCAGTGTGTCTATGCAGAAGTCAAGAGGTAGGTTGCGAAAGACTCGCTCGCCTTCGGCATAGGATGAGATAAGAGGGCGACGAAGAAGATAGGCTTTTGATGAATCTGCTCGGGCGAGAGATGGTGGCGGTGACCATGGAAGCAAAGGCTTTATCACGACTGCACATCTTGTCGAAGGGTTCCCCAGTGCCGTTGATTCACTGCGTGTTGTGTTAAGGAGGGAGGTCTCTTTGGAGATTCGACCATCGTGTCTTCGCAAGAAATGTGTTGAGTGAGTCGGCAAACGGAAGACAAGGGAGATGCCGGAAACACTTGACGCATCCAAGACGGCCACCACCGCTCCACAGGAAACCCGGTGCTGTAGCATCTAGAAGTATTGTATTGAATGTCGAAAGGTTGAGAACGTTCGAAGCTTCTGAGAGGGATCCTGAAAGCCCGTGGTAGCTTCGCTTCAGGAGCTCCCCGCTGCCGAGTCCTTGGTGGAGGAAGAGCTGCCGGTGGCTGAATCTGCCTTCAACTGGGTGTCCAGCATTACACCGGAGAATGCCCCAGAAAAGATCGAGAAGGATGCTCTACCCGCAGCAGCGCGCTTCGCGGGAGAGGTCCTGAAAGCGGGACTCCGGGCCGGCTCAGTGGGCTTGGATTTCGCATCACAGAACTTGCCGGCAGCAGAGGAGGCATTGGGCAAGGCCGTCGAGAAGGGTCTGCCGGTGGCACAGTCCGTGCTGCGCGACGCAGCTTCAGGAGCTCGCAGTTTGGCCACAGAAGGACTCCCAGGCCCTGAGACGCCACCATCGAATTCTGTTCTTCGAGCACTGGTGGAAGCTGCACCCGGGGTGCTGTCAAGCACTGCCAAGGTCCTGGATGCCACAGCTGATGCAGCTCCGCAGGTGACATCAGGCGTTGGGCAAGCCGTGTCAATGGTGACTCCGATCGCACAGGCTACGCTGGGTGTTGCATCAGACCTGGCCGAAGGGGCTTCCAACATCCCGGGATCAGCAGTTGAGCAGGCTGCCGGCAAGTTAGCCGACACGGTGAAGTCTTCCATACCGCCAGATGCCGCATCCAATGCAAAGCAGTTGGTCGAGAAGGCAGCTTCCGCTGTCATGACGCCGAAGAAGTGATTGACTGACGGCGTCTTGTATCGTGTCAGCAGGTTCTTTGTCCAAGATGCAGATTAGCATCCGAGGTCCTGTCAGAATTCTACTCTAGACCATCATGTATCAGAATGTAGCAAAGTATGGTAGGTCCCTCATTCTGGCAGACTGTGCTTTTCAACAGGCCGTCCGCGCCGTAGCCAGGGCGTCTTGATCTTCGCTGCCCCCGTCCATTTTCCTCATCGGTAGCGACGACTGACCACAGACGTGAACTAAAGAGTCCAAAGCAAAAGCAGCCGTTGGACACTGGCCTTTGCGTCTTTGCTGTCCGTGCATCTCCATGCAGAGGGAAAGTGCGATTCTATCTTGCACCGCATCCCTTAGCCTCACGAGCTTTCCTGGGATGACCTGAGCTATATACAGGTTCCGCCCAGCACCTGCAGGTTCATACTGTACGTAAAGTGGGGTCCGGACGACAGGGAGATGACGGGAGATGCAAGGTTTAGGACCTCGAGGACCCAATGCGAGCGAGCAAGGCGATTAAAGGCATAATATGGGCTTGGGCACGGGATGCTGCCATGGCTTGCCGTTCTGCTGCCTTTGTGCCTACTTGGCAAAAAGCAGCTGCCTGTCACCCTGACAGCTGGGAATCCTGATGGCAGGAAGGGCGAGAAGGACCGCCCGCATCATGTACCAATTTGCAGGTATCTGGGATGGGGTATGCTGATGCACTGATGCTCATTGACCACCCTGGCCCACAACAACAACAGCCGGTTCGTGATTGCCTACTTCCAGCAACTGCTGGCTTGCACCCAGAAAGACTCCAACAGCAAGAACCGACTGCAAGCGATGTCGGGCCTCACAACCTGACCCTTACTTCAGCACTTGTGTTGTGGCCGGATCACCTTGTCCTGTACCTTGCAACTCGTCTGTGGTGGCCAGCAGTTGGTCACTCAATCCTCTGAGATCGGGTCACCCTATTGACACCTCTCTGAGTTGCAAGGGCCCACATCTCTGAGAGGCCCTTCGCACAGTATTGCGTATCGCGCGAACCCAACATCGAAAGAACAGGGGTGGGCACAAAAATTGAAGTTTCAGTTGTGAGTGGCAGGCCCCAGTCCTTTAGAGGGGCGGACATGGAGCCCAAGAACGGCCAACCCTCAACGAATTGGGAAGTGACACACCCTGCACGGACTTGGAGCGGAGCTTTGACTGGGAAGGTCTGGCGCAGAAGGTCTGGATAACAGAGCCTGAAAGGATCGGGGCGGGTGCGGAGGGTGGACGGGGGGTTGCTCTGCCTTCTTAAGCATATGTCTGATGGGGAATATATGAGTGACGAACCTTAAATGCGAACAGGAGCAGCCAGTCCTAAACCCGGCAAAAGGCGTTGCAGCGAATACGAAACCCTGCAAAGAATGGGGGGGGATTGGCTGGCATGAGCAAGGCCCACTGAAAGGGCGCCAAGATGCCGGCCTACAGCCCATCACGCGAATTCGGCAAGCAGCCGCCTTTGTTTTGTCCTATGCTCTCTATCTGCTCTATCTCGCGTGTGTCCAGACCGGTTACTGTATGTGCTCGCAGTGTCTCCCCTCCCCGCCGTGAGGCTGCCATTGTAGTCTGCTCGACCTTTCTGCGGGAGAGGCATTCCTGGAGACCATCAACGGTACCAAGTCCGTCGTGGTGAGCTTCACGTCGCCAAGGCCTCTGTCCGACAGGTCAGAGTTGGTACACATCTGATGTGGTGATTTTGTGGTATCTCGTGAGTTGTCGGCCGAGGCTGCGCACATCTTGCAAGCCCTGTGCGGAGCTCCAGCCCGAATTCGCGAAGGTCTTGGATGCACTGCTCAGTTGACACGGTCTGGCATGGGGCCCACGACAGGCAGCAAAGAAGCTGAAGAAGAAGGGCTTTCTGTGTGGAGTCGTGGACACAGACCTCGCCGTGAACGTGAACCTCAAGGATGTCCACAACGTGACCAGTCCTCTGGAAGCATGTGAGCCATACACTCTGAAATTCCAGGCACATCTCAACTGCTTTGCTTGCAGGTATTCCGAGCATGCACCTTTTCCGCAAGGGCCTAGGCCTCTCCAAGCTCGAAGGCTTCCAGTCTTCTTCCAGCATTGAGCAGTGGGTGGCTTGGAGCAAGAGGCATGACAAGAGGCGGTTGCTCTGAGAATCCGACGCGGTCAGCATGCGGCAGCGGTGCCCAGCGACGAGGTGGCCGCGGTGGATATTCCGCAAGTGGAGGTTTTCGCAGCTTGGTTCAAGCTTCAATCTCAGTGGTGCTCGACTATCTTAAGTATCTTGAGCCTAGAAGCAGCCGTCATGTAGAATGTGGACTGGTGTTTCTGGTTGTGGTCGTCGTCCTCCCCTCGGCGTGACGTTTTCGGGAAAACTGATCTTGAGTGGTGGTTTTGTGGTTGTCTAGTCTGATGGTTGTGGCAATGCGGTCATAGGGATGATGAATAATCACTTCCCCGAAATATTAACACGCCACCCCCTAATATCAAAATTCAGTTCTGGGATTTGGTTTGAAGGGGGTGTTTCGGTGCATCCGGGTATGAGTTGGATTGAGAGTAGTCAGTATTGAGCAGACAGTCAGACAAGTAAGCAGAGACCGTTTCCTACGCAGCCGGTTTGACTAGTACTGCTGTAGTCTTGGCTCTATTGAAACCAATGCAATCCTAGACCCCCTCTCCCCTAATATCTTTTACGCGGGCCCGTGTTTTTATATCAGGGGGTTTAATTTTAACGCTACGCCGCCCGCCTCGGCTCTGTAGCGGCAGGGCGAGGCGGCAGTGGATGTTGTATACAGCATGCTAAGCGGGAGTGTCGGGGAGGGGGGGAGCCGGACAAGGGGTGGCAAATGAGCGCAAAAAACGGGTGTCCCCAAACATTTGGACTGCAGGGAGGAGGATTAGGTGGAGGGTACCTGAGGTAACCACCAAGACGCCTGGGCCTGTAACCGGTTAAAGGCCTTCCAGCCATGCCGCCCGGAGCAAGAAAAAACAACACAGAAAGAGCCTGAAAAGAAAGACAGGCAGTGGATTGACGACGCAAAAGCCAAAGCGGGGGCGAGGAAGACGAAACGAGGGCGACAAAAAAATGGGAGCAGGAAAGAGGGAAGAAAAAGGGGGGGAGGGGGGGGGGGTGAAACCATAAACCTCTAAAGGGGTAGCTCTAACAGGTACCTACAGCAATGGCTGCATGCTCATACATATACATTCCGCTGTCCATTGGCTCACAGTGGTTTTACCATATTGAGACAAGACAAGCTCTCCTTGCGTAGCAAGACAAAACAACTGCTGTCCGTGTGCAGGGCGCTGCCCTTTGATCCTTAGGGAATAACTGGTCATACACCTCCTCACAAGGAGTATCCCTTGGGGGTGTATCGGCACAGTTTTCTGGTAGCGGAGCCCGGAAAGGGCCGCCCGCCTCACAAAGTCCGCTACAGCGGTCGGCCTCGCCGAACGCTTAACCAAGCGGATAAGAGGCAGCACAATGTCGAGCTCGCATAGCGAAGCCGACGGCAGTTCCCAATCCTCCGGGGGATATGAGAACGAAGAGACCTCCCAAGGTCCAGCTACTTATGTCGCACAGTCATATGCAACATCTGACCGCATGCTTGCATCATTAGGCATAACGCCCAAGATCGCGCCTGCCTATGATGGCACCACCTCGTGGTTTGAGTATGAACAGTTGATTGACGACTGGTGCGACATAACAACGCTGGATGACACCAAAAGAGGTCCGTCTCTCAAGACGAGGCTCTCCGGATTGGCCGCAGTACAAAAAGAATCACTTAACCGAGAAAGGCTTGCAGCCCCAGATGGAGTAGATTACTTCAAGAAGAAGATGCGTCCATTTTTCGTGAAAGGAGAACAGTACGTTTTCCTGTGGCGTTTCCTCGGCCTATTCAAGGCATGGAAGGGCAACCAAGACTTTGTGACTTGGATTGCTAAGTTTGAGATCGTGCTACAGCGCGTGAAAAACTCATGGATGGATCTCTTACCAGAGATAGCTCTGGAAGATGCCCATCCAGATTTCATGCAGGCTGTGCAGGCAGATCAAACCTTCTTGCGCCTACAGGATGCAACCGAGAGAGACACATACGCCGCACGTTTCTTCGAAACATGGAACAAGGAACGCCTTGATAATCATCGAAGAGCGTTTCCTCTAAATGATAATCTCCTAGCTCTTCTCTTCCTAGTGCAGTCCGACCTAAATGAGATGCAACGTGAGAGGTTGGTAACAGCATTGACCAACCAAGGTCACCGAATTGAGACCTATACGTACCCTGTGGTACGGCAGACCATGTTCGATCAGTTCTCAACGACCAGAACTGGTCTGCAGGATCCCAACATTCGGCACTCTTCTCACAAGAAGGACCGCCATGGAAGGAGAGACCAACGCCGCAAACGCGGAGGTCGAAACTTCCTCATCCTCGATCAGGGTGAATACGACGGAGTCGATGGATTCTGGCTCCAAGACGAAGACACCCTTGAGGAAGGCTTTCTTGCCGCCGAGGATGAAGAAGCTGTCTTCTGGACAGTTGACGACCATGAAGCCTTCGTTGCAAGGAGATTCAAAAAGGGAAGAAGACCAAGAATGCGTCCCGGATCACCGGGAAGAGCAAAGGGTGGCAAGCGAAAAGGACGTGGCCGTTTTAGGTCATACCGCGGAAAAGGGAGAGCCAACCAGGCAGAACATGATCCAACTGATTCCAGCTATTTCGGTAAAGGTAAAGGAAAGGAAAAAGGAAAAGGTGGAAAAGGCAAAGGAAAAGGAAAGGACAAAGGAGATAAAGGAAGCTCCTTCAAGGGTACAAAAGCAAAAGGCAAAGGTAAGGATACAGCTAAGTCTGCCTCCTTACAAGGAGACCAAACTGGATCTCCACAGGCCTATGAAAGTTCCACCGCACCGAGCTGGGATTCATGGTATGAGGACAGTTATTATACTGACTCCAGTTGGAATTATGCCGCTTATGACGATCAAACGTCTTATACATACTATGCATCACAAGCCTCACGAAGAAAGACACGGAGAAAGAAGAGAAGAAATCAAGCAGGATCATCAGGTAGAGGCACAGATCCGAGCGCGCACCAAGAACCCGTGTACAACTCATCAGTGAGTTACGTGCCCCAGGTCTCTGAACCATCCGAGGGGCAAGGTGTGAGACTGCAACAGCAGTGTTTCCGTTGCAGCACACCGTCCTATCTGCTCTCACAGAGCGGATCAATCTTGATAAGAGCCCTACCTTTGTCATACTTGACTCAGGTTGTACTAGGGCTATGGGTTCCCGCTATGCGGTGAACAGGCTTATCAAGGCCGTGAAGCAACGTGCCCCAGGCATGATTGATTTCACTTTTTCACCTTCGAACACGAAGTTCTCTTTCGCAGATAGTGAAACAGCTCTTATCAAGGAGCGTGTAACTCTATGGTTCAACACAACTCCAAGAAGAGATACAACCATAGAAGTTTTGGATCAGGGGAGAGTCCCCATTTTGTTTTCCATCGAACAGATGAGGAATTTAAGAATGACTCTCGAGTGTAGTCCCACAGCTGACCTAGCAACGTGTGAAGCTTTCGGTTTGTATAAAACCCCTCTTCCGATTAGTACCAATAACCATTTGGTATTGGACCTTCTAGGCTTCACTTCCACCAGGAAGTATCTCCCTAAGTCAGGTACGTCGTTCAGTGCGACGGAGACTGCTCTAGGAGCCAAGAAGCCCTATATTAGGATACCGGAAGGTCGCTGTCCAGCCTGTGCCGGACAGAAAAAGGCTCACACGTACTCAAGGGTTGCGACAAAGCACCTGAGGGAGCAGCTGATCCACCACCGAAGAGGATTTCAGGTAAAAAGAAGCCTCTTCCATCTGATCCGGCAGAATCATCTGCCAAGAAACTTGATCCACCAGAACCATCTGGTGATGCTCCTGAGCCTTCCGGACCATCGGAACCATCATCAGGCTCTAGGGACAAACCTGCAGAATCCTCTGCACCACATGAACCTCCAGAAGAAGAAAGACTTGAGGTCCCACCTGCGAAGATAAAGACTCCAAAGGGTCTTAAAAACCTTTTGAAGAAATCCCGCAAATACGCGGTTAAATCTCCTGTTGAAGAGAAGTCTAAGGTCCCAGGAGCTGATGACGGGACGGAGGTAAGACCACTTGAGTCAAGAGAATACCCGGCTCCTGGTATAGACTCACCTACAGGTGAAGAGATTGTTGCGGAACCAACGCCATCTCTTCCCATTGCTCTTCGCAGGATTCATGAGAAGCTTAAGGACCCTGTAGAACTCTATAAGCTTCACCTTAAGCACCGTCATATGAGTACGGATCAGTTCAAGCGACGCACAAAAGCCTTACAGATCCCAAAGGAGATCTACGAGCTATATGACCAACTGGTCAAAAAGTGTTCAGCCTGCCAGGAACATGTGAGAGCTCCTTCAAGAGCGAAGATTTCTGGTTTAAGATCAGAGACTTTCGGTGATCTCACCTTCGTAGATCACGGTGAGCTTCCAATTCCCGGCAAGGATAGTCGCTTAGTATTTCTTATTCTCTATGATGGAGCAACAAACTTGTTGACTGCCGAAGTAGTCCAGGATAAAGAAGAACATACTACGATGTCGATTATGAATGACTACTTTGAGAAATTTCAGATCAACCCAAAGGTTGTAGTTGGAGATCAAGCATTCATGACTCCAAAAATGGAGGCTTATTACAATCGGCAGAATATCAAGCCTGTAGCAACAGGACCTGGAACACCATGGCCCAACAGGGCCGAAGCTGCTGTAAGATTGCTGAAGCATCAGATTAAGATCATACTTCAGATCCTGAAGGATGGTGACCCGCAGTATAACGGAATCACCATGAAGTATGGCAACCTCGTTCGACAAGCATGTTTGGCAAGAAACTCTTCGATTACCTACGGAGGAGTTACTCCTTTAGAAATGGCCTTTGGAAGGCGTCCTCGAGATGTTATAACACCAGAGAACGCTGATCCCAATCAGTTGACAGGTAATCCAACTGATACGGAAGTCACTGCGAGAGCCATTAAGGAGCTTGCCAACAGGGCTTACCAAGAGGCACGCCAATCTGATGATCTGCGTAGAGATCTTGCAGCCAGACTGTCAATGACCCAAGGACCTTTCTCTTTGGGAGATAAGGTTTT